CGAGGGTGGGGTGTTGCCCGACCTGTTGCCGGCGACCAACGAGTCCAACGCCAGTTATAATAGTGCGAACGCATCAGATGCTGTTGCGGTCGCTCCCACTGACCTTGACCACGGTTATCATCTACTGGCTATCCCCCGCGAGGGTGGGGTGTTGCCCGACCTGTTGCCGGCGACCAACGAGTCCAACGCCAGTTATAATAGTGCGAACGCATTAGATGCTGTTGCAGTCGCTCCCACTGACCTTGACCACGGTTATCATCTACTGGCTATCCCCCGCGAGGGTGGGGTGTTGCCCGACCTGTTGCCGGCGACCAACGAGTCCAACGCCAGTTATAATAGTGCGAACGCATCAGATGCTGTTGCGGTCGCTCCCACTGACCTTGACCACGGTTATCATCTACTGGCTATCCCCCGCGAGGGTGGGGTGTTGCCCGACCTGTTGCCGGCGACCAACGAGTCCAACGCCAGTTATAATAGTGCGAACGCATCAGATGCTGCTGCGGTCGCTCCCACTGACCTTGACCACGAGTATCATCTACTGGCTATCCCCCGCGAGGGTGGGGTGTTGCCCGACCTGTCGCCGGCGACCAACGAGTCCAACGCCAGTTATAATAGTGCGAACGCATCAGATGCTGTTGCGGTCGCTCCCACTGACCTTGACCACGAGTATCATCTACTGGCTATCCCCCGCGAGGGTGGGGTGTTGCCCGACCTGTCGCCGGCGACCAACGAGTCCAACGCCAGTTATAATAGTGCGAACGCATCAGATGCTGTTGCGGTCGCTCCCACTGACCTTGACCACGGGTATCATCTACTGGCTATCCCCCACGAGGGTGGGGTGTTGCCCGACCTGTCGCCTGCTGCATTGAACATCATTCCTTATGCCGATGGTGGTGACATGAGCGCTAATGACTTGGACCGTATTTTCGGTCGCTCCCACTGACCTTGACCACGGGTATCATCTACTGGCTATCCCCCACGAGGGTGGGGTGTTGCCCGACCTGTCGCCTGCTGCATTGAACATCATTCCTTATGCCGATGGTGGTGACATGAGCGCTAATGACTTGGACCGTATTTTCGAACGGAGCCAGAACCTTCCTCCACAGCTTCTTCACCAGATATTGGACCCATCATTTCGTTGTATGACTGACACAGATGTTCTTGCTCTCCTGAGCGATTACAACAGTGCCCAATCCAGCGGCTTTGAGTTCCAGCCTTTTGCTTCAATATCTGCCCCCCAAATTCCACAGCAAGTCGTTCCTACTGATGACATCATGAGAGACGTGAATCAGGCCGATCTCAACGATGCCGACGTTACTGTATTCAAGCTCTTTTCTGTGTTGATGTGCACCAAATCCAGTGAGTCCTCGCTCATCATGCCAGCCGACCCAACCATAAGCAAGGGCACAGCCCATAATTGTATTCCTCATCTCCTTTCTCTCAACTTCTTTGTTTTTAGATCAATCGAACTTGTGTCTTTCTTTGAAAGAGCTGAAGAAGCCTTCTCCAGAAGCTCTTGCCGCCCTGGCCGATCGTTACAAATTTCGTCATGTTGAACTTGTCGAGATTCTTGATGAGCTTTTCTCGATTGAAGAACCTTACCTCAAAAACGCCGACGAACTCAAGGAATGGTTGACCAAGGAAATCCATGAACAACTGGGGCATCCCCGTTCTGCCGCCTCCTTTGCCAATGCTAGTGCCGGTGCCGCCTCCTCTGCGCACCGGGATGCCGACGACGCCGCGGGCCCTCCTGCCAAACGACCCAAAGCGAGCAGCCACACTGGGGGTTCATCGGACTCCTCCTCTCCAATCCTGGAGCGGCTCCTTGACGGTTTGAGTTCATTGTGGGCTCGATTCCCAACCCTCTTCCAACAAGCAGCGGCTCCGGGCAGCGGTTCTCACAACCAACATGGCTTTGCGGGTATTTTGAAGTATTGTTCGTTGGACAATCTATTTTCGCGACTATCTGGCAGCCGTAGAAACCCAGAACTGCGCAAGCTCATCAAAAAGCGCGTGATAGCTTTCCAAAAACAATTACCCGACCCGAATCTTCAAGGTCTGCTGACCTGCTTGCAAGAGCCGCTAGAAGACGAATCTCGCGCCACGAACAAGTAAAAAAAAAAAAAAAAAAAAAAAAAAATCCTTCTTGAGCGTCACTCTCTAGTATCTTTCAAGTGCTGGACTCTGTCTCTACTCGCCATTGATGTTTGCGTTGATTTTCTCTTGTGGTGGATCTGATGTCATGTCAACCTCTGCAAGTCCTTTGCCTGCTCCCTCGCCTCTTAAGATGTTAAAAAAAAAAAAAAAGAATTGATGTTTGTGCCGTCGCACTGCCCTCAACTCTGTGGGAGAGCGCATCTCGCACGCACGGCGCGGTTCATCGACTTTATTCACCACCCAAACCGTGGGGACGCGCGCCACGGAGAGCCACAAAAAAGACGAGGGAGTCTCTTGTCGTAGGTGGAGTTGATCTCTCTCTCTCTATCTCCCTCTCCCTCTCTCCCTCTCTCTCTCTCTCTCTCCCACACACACACACACACACACACACACACACACACACACACACACACACACACACACACACACACACACGTACTTTTGCGAGCAGGCATGCAGTAAGGAGGATCCTGTGATGGAGCCCTGAGCATGTGCAAGCGCTTTTGCTTCAAATCTCGTGAGGTCGCTCGTGATGGCGCCTTGGGCCCCCTGGACCCGGGTTTGGGGTTGTCGTATTTTTTTCGGAAAAGTGTGCCAAAGTGAAAGGTCGCCCCCAACCTTGTTGCTTAATGTCAAAACTTTTTCCTTCGAGCGACCTCGGTGTGTGTGTGTCGTGTGTCGTGTGCCGTGTTCTGTCTTCCCCTGCCTCTTGTTTGTTCGGGTGTATTTCAGTTCGCTGCCTTCTGCCCCTTTCTCCTCTCTCTCTTTTCTTCTAACAAATTAATTCACATGTCAGTCTCTCTCTCTCTCTCTCTCTCTCTCTCTCTCTCTCTCTCTCTCTCTCTCTCTCTCTCTCTCTCTCTCTCTCTCTCTCTGTCTCTCTGTCTCTCTGTGTGTCTCTCTCTCTGTGTCTCAGGATGTAATTATGAGTCCTTCGTGTGTGTGTGTGTGTGTCTCTCTCTTTTTTTTTGAATCATTTCTC